TGTAAAGTGTAATTGACATCTGATGATGAATAAAAGTGTTTTATTTATGAGTAAAGTGTTGCTATCTCTTGTCGATCGTTTACTATATTTCTTTTGCATGTTTTGACTTCCAGAATAATTTTTGTTTGGTATAACATATTATTCAAACCTCCACAGTCGGTCATATGTCGGAAGTAGGTATGAATCAAGACTGTCATGTTTGGTTGTAGAGGTCTTGGACAAGGCTACAGCAATCATGAGTGCTCATAAGTTCTGAGCATTGGACTCAACCCACGCTCACTGGAATCACTTCATGGAATTCTATCTCGAGTGATCGTGAGATGGTAATATGTATAAGTCTTCAAACCTAGAGATATGATTTGTTACTTACAAGTTGGTTATGCATTGATTGTACGAAAAACGCATTGGTAACTCGATGTTATAAATCGCGCTCTTGTGTGTAATTCAATGAGTGGTAGAACAAACATATGAGTCGAAGTTTATCTGTTCCTTCTTGGATTAGAAGCTGATATCTGGGCCCCTCGATGATTTTGTTTTGACCTATGTGTCGGGCCCGGTCAGAACTAAATGATGTGTTCAATGAAGTTCTTTGTCAAACAAATCGGAAATCGGGAAACAAACTGTTGGACAATAAGTAAGACATTGTTCCGTGTATTTTCCGACTGATATCTAGAACAGAGGATTATATGATCACTTATCTTAAATGGCATACCATCATCTTCTCAGTTCCGAGAAACCTTGTAAAGAGCTACGATTGCCGATCGGTTCCTGAAGTCATACTTGCAGTAATAGTTATTAGACTTATCCAAGTGGGAGACTGTTGGATAAGGTGTCTAAGTCCATAACTATTTCTGGTATGTACTTGACCCGACCCGGCATGGTCCATTTGGGTTGCATGGCACCATGCAATTGGATAGACTAAATGAGAGAAATAACACTTGGAGATTATTAATATATTATAAGTTCTAATATATTAATAATATTATTTGATTAGTTTGATCAAGAATTAATTTAGAATTAATTATGTGATCAAAAGATAACTAATTAAATATATGGGTTGATTATGTAAATCATCCATATCTTGTATGATGGGCTAAGAGGCTCCATGGATTATCAAGTTGGGTTCCACCCATAGGATGCTCCATGGGAGTTACAAACCCATGGGTCATGGAAATGAAGAGTCATGACACATTAGGGTTTAACCCTAGATGTGTCAACACTATATAAGAAACATATTCTCCACCAAAATCGGCTACACTAAGAAACACGAGGGCTTAGCCGATTTTTGAGAAGTGTGTGTTCTCTCATAAGTTCTTCCAAGAGCATTTGGTGTTGTGTGAAGCATTTGAGGCAACACACTTGGGGTGCTAGGCTCACAAGGTTTCAAGGAACACAAACAACAACAAGGTAAGTTATTCTATCTACTATTCAAGTTAAAATTGTTCCCCATGTATGCTAGATAGGAATATAACCTTGGAATTCAACTTTGCATGATAATTAGACAAACATAGATCCAAGGTTATTAGGGTTGCATGTACACTTAGGAAGTGTTAGAATGCTCAAAAACCCATCACTTAGAACTTCAAGAGTCTTCTTCGATTGCACCGATCACAAGATTCTCAAATGCAAGAGGGGTAGAAGGACCAAGCTGGAAACCTGTCTCAAAATTCCAACTCGGAGATGAAAATTATGATGATGATGTCCAACTTCTTTCGAATGATGATGATGATGATGATGATGATGATAGTGATGAAGAGGATCTATATGTAAGGAATAGAGTAGTAGGACTTCCAGCTCCATGGAAGTATCCTGCTAAAGTGTTGACAGAAGAAGAGAGGAGAATATGGTTAGCAGTGAATTGGCCATCCACTCTGGCTGACGTATTAAAGAGAAGTATAGAAGAGGCTAAGGTAAAAAGCAAATTAACTGCTAATGCCTTCCGAGCCACTACATCGATGTTGCCTCCGGTCTCTCCTCCCAAAATAGCTCTAACTGATGAGAGTTCTCCGCTCCGGAAGCCCGATGATATTCCGGAAGATCCCCTTCCTTCCTCTCCTCCAAATCTATCAATTGATGAAAACATGCAATCTCTCCTTTCCTTCCTCAACAAAAAATAGGACCAGGGTAAGAAGCCCGTCTCTGAAGCTCAACAAATTCACCACTTCATATTCCCTCCAAATAAAAAATTAGGCTAGTCCCAAGAAGAAATTAATCAGGCACTTGAGAAAGTATTCAAATTCAAGCTCTACAAGATAACCCTAATCTGATGCTGGGGCTCTCACCTCTCTACTATGAACGGATTATCCATGATCTGGATATAGTACTATTTATGTACTATGATATCCCCAAAAACGATTCAGACCAACTTGATCTACCACTATCTCCTTACAGTAAGTACTACACCAAGTTTTCCCCCTTGAATCCGAATGATGATCCTCAATTGATCATCTGAACCGAGTGTGAACGACTGAAGACCTTTTATTCAAAGAATGCTCTTCCCCAAAAGGAAGTGTGGTCTAGAAAAAGGATCACCAAAATCTCAGGGTGTGCAAGGAATGTTCTAACCAAGTTTTATCTAAATTGTGTGTTGTTTTGCTACTACATCCTCCGGAATAAACCAACCCCATACACCTTCACTGAGGCTGATTTTCCTGCTATTAATCCAAACAACATCCTAACCATTACTGCTCATTTCCGAAACCATCAAGATATTGATCTTAGCATGGGAGGCTATCATAATGCCTTAAGTTTTCTTAAGGATTATGTGGTGGAATTTTTCCGATGCAACTATGATTTGGCATATCTGTTAAGAACCAAAAACCACTTAGCCAAAATCGACTTTGTTATGCCAGAAGCTGAGTTGCTGGCTGAAGGACCCATTGATGAACCAATACTAGGGTATGTTTACAAACAACGAAAGTCAAACAAAAAGGACTTATTCCAAGTCCTCGACAAACACCTAGTTCCAACTAAATTCCTTGAAAAATTCATTAGTCGTGCATCCAAGTCTGAAGCTCCTGATCATGTCAAGGACTAGTTTGCGAGTCAGCTACAATGGTACATTGAAGTCAGAGAATGGTTGTATCGAGCATATGTTTTCATCAGAGAAGAAGCTAATTGAGTTGATCTAATTGCTACATTCCCTTAGGGGGGATTGTTAGTACCTGAAAGTGAACCTCTATCAATCACCCAACAAGTTCCGAGATCAGTCTTATTTCCAAAGTGAAAGATGTTCTGGAGTCGATGGAGAAAAAGAATTGGCATCAGGAGTAAAATATCATGGTGCGAAGTAGAAGAAGTCCGAGATGGTGAATATGTTCCGAAGCAGTTTGTCTGTCAGCATTAATTAGTTTTGTCATCTAGTTTGATGTACCGTATCATAGAAGTTAGTATCTTTTGTCAACTTAGATAATCAGAGTGTCAGGAGTAACTCTACAATCCGTTTCTATTTATGTTTTTGGTTAGTATGATCTAAATTGTTCTCCTATTTAGGGAGCATTGAATGACAAAACAAAATGATGGATTGCTTCACCAAAGATAGATATTTTCACATTTATTTCACTTACATCTTTCTTTCAAATCACATCTTTCAAACATTCTTCTTGTTCATTTATCTTCTTTACCTAGACCATTAACTACTAGTCTTATTTATGAATTGAATACATTGTTGAATCTTTAACTTCATGTATTGATTGGTCATACCAAACTTGACTGGAACATTTGTTTAATAGCAGACATTGATCTTAAGCATTAACTCAAGGTTTGAGTTTTCAAACCTTGTCCCTGCGCAATCAGATCCTTGTTCTCACAAATTCCACATACCAATTTCATGAACGGTGTATCGTGTGCAAGGTATTGGAGCTTGATTTTGATGGAAGTGTATGAGAAAGAGGGAATTTTGGTACCATCTGAATACTCCAATACTAGTTACTAATGATCCAATTTAGTTTCCAACTATGGCTCGAATTCCCAATGCCATGTTATGAAGAGTAGATCCTGCTCATCCAAGTCTTATTCACTACTTGATAACTATTAACCCAGATGTTGACGTTGGGTTTTATTACCAAAAGGGCAGAAGGCACGTCAAAGGTTGTTAAAGTCTCTAAGAAAGCAAAGATGTATGAACAACATATATATGTTCACGTGCAAGTAGAGAAGAATGTAACAAAATATGTTTAAGAAAATGTTGAAAAGTAAATTCCCAAGGAGGTTGTTCCATTTAAGACAAGTATTATGAAATGAACCAAGAAGCCAGATCATTGACCTCGCCATCCTCCCGAACCACCGATCACTTAAGAAGCTTCTAATGAGCCATTTTCTTCACCAAAAGAGGGATCTATTTCGAAGGGGATAAGGAAAAATCACAAACCCCAACTTAACAGAAGGGTTGTACGTATTTGTGATGTTCATGTTCTAGTATCACCAGCTTCGAAGAAATGCAAAGCTCGTGAAGTAGTCAAAAATATTAAGAAGAAGAAGAGGAAACAACTTGTTGATCCACTTGACGAAGTTGTTGCTGAAACTGCTTTGAAAAGTGGAAGCGAAAGATCACTGATTCATCATGATATTGGATTGCGCTTTAAGACACCTCAAAGGTACTCTCCAGTTAAGTCAAATTTGGAGGAGAATTGAAGTCTTGATGGCCATGTACACGGATATCATATGGATACAATCACTAATTTGAGTGAATTTCCATCTACTACTGTCTCTATGATGGCATATGTCATACCACACAAGGTTTCGGGATTGAGTCCATTACGGAGGACATTCTCACCTTAGGCATCCCTGTGTACATATCTTATATGGACACAAATATCACTATGGGTGAAGGGATGATGGAAAATGATGTGTTTGGTATATGTTTTGCTCAAACCTCTACTGTTAATACCTCACTTATTCTATCTTCTACCATCGCAACCACCTTCATTGATACTTTTACTTCTTTACCACCATTCTCTTCTCCAACCCCATATTCATTACCTTCTTATACCATTTCACCAATGTTTTCCAATATCATGCAACAACCAATTAAATCACTTTTCTCTTCCCAGTCCACTGAAGGAGAAAAAACAGTTCAAGAAGATAAAACGGATGATGATGATATTATAGTATCTTTTACAGAAATTCTGTTTGATCCTGAGGAAGATAATATACCTGATAACATGCTCAAGTTAGGGAAACAATTCAAAAATCTCAATCATAAGCTAAATTTTTTGTTACAAATTCAGGCTGATACAGGAGGTCGAAACTCAGTTTCTGGAGTGGAAGTGGATATTTTTCTCAAGTCACAAGAGCATCGTCTCAAGATTGCTATGGAACAAATTCAGAAACAACATGTTGTGCGTTTAAAGCATCATGTTCAAAATTTCCAATATGAGGTGACAAAGCTTTGTGATGTTGCAAAAGAACGTTATGAAATTTTTGTTGAGCAAGTCAAGAAGGTGGAGGATTCTGTAAATCTTAAAGTGGAAGAGCTTAAGTATGAGATAAGGATGGAAGTGTAAAAGATAGAAAAAAATTACTCTATTCTTCATGGAAAGGTTGATGCCATTGTTGAGGCCATAAAGAAGCTTGTGGAGTATAACACTTTATTTTCAACCAAGCTCGAAGCCACAACAAAAACAGATTCTAAGGTGTTTGAAAAGATGGAGGAGTTTCTAGGAAGCTTAAAAGAATATTTTTCGAAGCTTGATCTTTCTCAACAATCAGCTGTCTCTCAGGAGTCTATCTCGAAGTTGATTTCTTCTATCGAATCCAACATAAAGACTAAGATTGAACCCATTATGATGTTGGTACTTTTATTGCCAACGAATTCCCTAGCTATGAAACATGTGGTGCAAGGGGGGATGGGGGTTGGATCTTTGAAAGATCCTGATCAAGCAAAAGTTGTAGGGAAGGTGATGTCAACTCAAATTCCCACATCACTTCCTATTTCTCTAATAACCACTTCTACTACAACAACTTCGAGACCAATAACAAAAGGCATTTTCATTACAAAAAGTGTTGGGGGATCAAGTTCAAGTTTGAAACCACCTCCTACAAAATATAATAAAGGTGATAAAGGGTAGGGTATTGAGGTTAATCCTTCTAAGGAAAAAAAGAAGAAAAGTTTAGAGAATGAAATTGAAAGGCAACGTCAGACCAAAAACATTATGAGACAACGAAAAAGTGATCCATCATGTTTAAATAAGGGTGATCCCAGTAAACATTGGTGTTATGAAACAATCGAGCAAGTCATTCCATCAGGAAAGATGCATGATTTTGGAAATTTTCCAAAGAAAAGTTATGAGATCAAAAACTTTAACTTTAACCAACTAGATTTTCCAACAAATCACATGATGTTTATCTCTGCTCAGTATCAGTTGGTTGATAGGTTCGAAGACAAAGATGAGTATACGATATTGAAGATAAGATTGCATGTTGTTTTACGAAAGAAGGAAGAGGAAGTTCTCTTCGGTTAAAATCATCAAAGTGTTGAGCATTTCAAGAGAAAGTTCGTTCAAAGGTTTGCTACGGAATTTTCGCTTTTATGTGGTCAGAGCGAATAATGTAGCTTGTGACTTCTCGGTTGCAGACTTCCCTCTAATAAACCTAAATGATGTTATCAATGTCGCGAAGATTTTAAGGACTGTTGATGTGTCGGAGCTTCATGAAAACAACAAAGATGATTTCTTGATTAGGTTTAGTCATATCAAATTATTCATAGATAACTACTGTGATTGCTTGGTAGTGACATATATCGAACTTGAAATGGCAGTGAATGGAACTTCAAAGGTTCCACAATCAATACTTAAGGGGCAGGTTAGTCTTAAAGACTATGTTGATGGGGAGATTGCTCATAAACCTTTAGGAGTTGTTTTTCTCAGAAAGAACAAGAATGGAAAGATTACCAAATATCTATTTCGAGTTTATGATGTGAAGAGGTACATGAACTCTCAGTATACAAGCTTTTTGGTTTGTCTTGGTATATGGAGGTTCTACGAGTACTTCACCAGGCCATGAAGATGATGATGACATAAGTTCGACACTTCTCAATAAGGGGGAGATTTTAAGGTTCAAAATATGTAGTGACGTGTCGAGGTACATTTAGGCCTGGGTAGTGTCGATGTCGAAGTCATGTACTTTGAATGTACGCGTTACATAAGGCATTTTTAGAGGTTAAAGCTCAAAAATTTAGTCCTTCTGTATTTTTTGTACGCGTCTGTATCACCCTATAAATAGGGTAAGTATAGGAGTCAAGAGTAAGCTTTTGAGCTTTTGTGCTTTTACTCTCTCGTATTCTTGTTCTTGTTCAGATGGTATAATCGAGCCAAATGAAATTTATTTACAATTGTGTTCATTACGCATTCTGTTCTTGATTTCGTTCTTAATGCTCGATTCAAAGGAACTACATTATACCATTCTAGCTAACCACATAACCCAAGAATTGTATTTATCTGATTCAAAAGTCACCCATGGAGAGCTTTGCGTAAAGCTTCTCCTTTATTAGGACTTTTCGTACCTCTCGAAGGTGTTTACCATGATCTTGCTCGTTCTTGGAGTAAATCATGATGTAATTAATGAACACTATCACGGATTTATCGAGGAAAGGCTTAAAATCTAGATGCATCAAATCTATGAATACGGATGGAGCATTTGTTAGTCAAAATGGCATAACAAAAAATTCGTAGTGTCCATACTTGTTCCAAATGCTATCTTATCAACATCTTGTTCTCTTACTTTCAGTTGATGATAGTCTGACCTAAGATCAATCTTTGAAAAGTAGGTTGTTGCATGAAATTGATCGAACAAATCATCTATTTTGGATAGTAGGTATCGGTTCTTTATCGTGGATTTGTTTTGCTCGTGATAAACAATGCACATCCTCATCGCACCTTCTTTCTTCTTTACAAACAATGCTATAGCTCCCTAGGGTGATAAAATAGGTTTGATGAAACCTTTTTTTCAAATAACTCCTCGAGTTGTGTCATTAACTCCTTCACATTTGTGGGTGTTAAACGGTACAGTGTTTTCGCAATCAACATCATGCCTAGAATTAAGTCAATTATGAACTCTATATGTCTCTCTGGTGGTAATCTTAGTACATCATCTGGAAATACATATGGAAATTCACAGACCACTTGTATTTCAATCATTGTCTTCTTTTCTTTCATCTCTTCAATCACACAAGCAAAGAATGTTGTACATCCTTTGTTAAGACATCTTATGGATTTCATCTTTATAATGATTCAGACTTTATTCTGTTCTTGTCATCGTATATGATGAAATATTCTCTCCCAGGAGGATTGATTTACACCGTCTTTCTTCTACATAAGATGTCCTCAACATTTTCTTCAACCATTCCATGCCTAAAATGACATTGAAATCTTTTAGCTCAAAGTGTAATAACTCTTTATGGAATTTGTTTCCATTTAAGTCGATGGTTAATATTTCTAACTTATTACTATCAAAGACATTCCTACCACAAACTACTTCCACCTTGATTGGAATTTAATCTATGTGGTGATAAACTAAGCTTTCTACCAAATTCATGCCAACTAAAGGAGTGATCTTCCATGAGTAAAATAAAATATTGTCAGGAAATTTATTTACTAGGAATGTACCTGAAGCAATGTCAGCTTCATCTTTGGCTTCGTTGAGGGTTATTTGGTAGCTTTAACCCTTGAGTTTTGCTGGGTTGGTTTTTTAGCTTTTGGGCATCCATCTTTCATGTTCCCCTCTTCTTCGCATTTGAAGCAAACTCTTCCTTTTATTGGGCAGTTTATGGAAACATGCCATGGCTTGTTGCACTTGTAATAGATGACACAGTCGACAAGCTTTTTTTTTTCTTGCATTGGTCACACCGCTTTCCATCTTGGTCGTTCCCATATTTGTTCTTGTTATTGTTGTTGTTGTTCGAATTTGATAATTTCTTCTTCTCCTTATTCTTCCTCTTGTTTCCTGAGGAACCTTCCGTCTTCCTCTTCTCACCAACTTCATACCTGTCGGCAGTCCTTTTGATCATGTTTTCAACATACTGTGCAACCCAGGAAGCTGCCTCAAGAGTAACTCTATTTTATATGTGAAAGGATTGATGTATTCCTTAATGGATATTGTAACGCCTGTGTTTCTGGACTTGCCATTTTTAGCAATGTGATAGTCTAGGTTAACCTTTGTAACCTGTTTTGAAATAATATAAGTGTATTATTTGAGTATTATGTGTTTTGTGCTTAATTGCTTAATTATGTGGTTTGATTAATTAAGAATAAAAATAAGCATCAAAATTTAAGTGTAAAATAAACTTGATAGCTTTAGATAATGTTGTAGTAGTTGAAACAAGGTTTCCGAGGATATAAACAATGCTGAAATCCGAGTTATAACGAAGAAGTTATGACCTGTCGAAGTTTCGTGATAGAACTGGCAACGCTGAATAACGTAAAAAGTGAAATTTATGTTAGAGCGATATTTAGCCTTAGTGATCTAAATGAGAATCGAAGATCTCATTGTTAGTATCAAAGCGATAAAAAGTTAGGCAAGAACGGAAGTCAAACGAAGAAGTTATGAATTTATAACGAAATTTTCTGTCCCGGCCTATTAAAAATAAATAATAAAAATAAAGTCAAAATTAGCCAACAGAGTCTAAACGAAATTTATAGAGTGTAGTCTCACCTTCGCGTGGATATAAAGAATGTCGAAAACGGAGTTCGTATGAAGGAGATATGAATTTTCAAAGTTTATTAAATAATTAATAATTAAATTTAATTATTAAATCTGGCCTTATCCGAAGACGAGTCACCGGACTTATCCGGAGTACGCCCCGCGTACAGCGAAGATGTCGACATTCGCACTCAAGGACTTCGGATGATGCATGCGCTTACGATTTCGGACCTGTACGCCCCGCGTACTCCGAGGCATCATCCTCCTATAAATAGGATGCGAGGCTGCCGAGTTTTTTGCTATTTTTCTCAATTCTCTCTCCCGTTTTGCCTCGATTTGCGTGCCAGAAATACCCCGAAGCCCCGGTAATATTCTCGAGTCCCGAAGCAAGTCCCGAGATCCCGAAGATCCCGAGAAGTGCGGTTTCCGAGCCGAAGCTATGCCCCGCGAGAAGTTCGATTTTTGTAGAGATCTTCCAGATCTGCTGAGGATTACTACTTCTACAAGCCGTAGTGATGTCCGATCATCTTCTGATTAAGTGAGTGTGTAGTTACTTTCTTCTAACACATAATTATGAAGTATTTTATACGAAATACGTGTTATGTGTATAGTTTTGTTGTTATGTGCGTGAATGTATATTCACTCTCTTCAATCTCATAGATCTGATTTGTTTTCTATGAAATACGTGTTATGTGGGTATGCCTCATCTGTTATGTGAAATATGTATTGGATGAAAATGCTATACAGGTTTTAAACTATGTATAAAAATATATATTTTTATCTACTAATATGTTGGGTAGAACATGGGTAGATAGTTGGTGTGTAATAAACAGATGAGAGGCCTCGATGTTGTTGTTGTTGACCTAGTTATTCAGCGGAGTATGGATAACGACCACAGACTCCTTCTAGACAGTCTCGTGGAACGCTAGCAGGTTCATAACCTGTAGGTGTTGTGAACGATGTGTTCACCGGTGTACTCTATCCCCCTCATGGTTGCCTTTAGGATATCTATTGTTGAGGAAACCCCTTAGCAGTAATGTCCGTCCCGATGAAAATCCTAGATTAGGTCCCTTGAGATAGATGTTGTTTTAGGGACGTAAAGTGAGGATAACGGGAATGGGTAATCGGGATAGTGATTGGTTGGTGAAATTAAATATAATTTATTTATTGTGGGTTGAAAACCCTATATGCTCACCAGGCTCCCAAGCCTGACCCACTCAGTTTTATTTGTATTACAGGAAGTGGCGCAAGGGCGTAAGATGGATGAACCATCAAGTTGTTTTGTTTACAAGTCTGTATATGTATATATTTGTTGAATGACTTGTAATGTTATTGTTTATGCTTAATGGTCTGTATCGGAACATGACACCCCGAGTTTTGATTATATAATGAAAATACATTTCTTTTATGAAATGCTTTGGTAAACATTGTT